AGACTTCTCTATACTGCATACTTTTACCCATAATGCTGATTTTTTTAAGGTCTGATTTTATACTATTAAATAAGCTGTGACCCAAAATGAATAATATACGAACCACATAACATTCAGGCAAGTGACTAAGTAATTTAGTATGGTTGTATTAAAACTAAGACTAAGCCTTATATATAATCCAGAAACAAAACACTCCAACATAGACAGAGTGTGGGGACTTGAAATACACTTTCATAAAATAAGCTACTGCAAGAAACACATTTACAGAACATAATCCTCACAAGTGAGCTTCCAAACAAGTTTTCAAAACGAAGCACCATCAGTCATTTAAAAAGCTAGATTCACATTTTATTAATGTGACAAGTATAACAAGAGAAATATATTATATGATTCTCAAATGACATAATTAATGTAGCTTATGTGATATATTTCTATTAATGAGCTTTTATTATGTGTGAACAGTAACCATAACGTTAGATGAGCAATGAAAAATCCAATCAACAGTAGCTTTCCAGAAGGTTTTGACTGCAGTCCTATTTACACAGTGTTATCTGATACTAATCCTCGGGTTTTAAAGAGCAGAGATTGCTTCGGAATTGTAAACAAACATATTCCTATGAGATGAGCATTTTAATTATCATTTCTGAAAATACAAGATAAGAATAATGTGATGCAGACTCTTAAAGCGAAATTAGAGGAAACCATATTTTGTCAGGCCAATTTAGTTACATGAATAAAAAGATCATGACACTGGATCAAGAGCCCAGTGTATAAAGCCTGGTTTTTACTTAATCATTTCAGGGCGACTTTGTACAGGGTGGCTGATCTCTCCTTAATGTTGTTTGCAAAGATTAGAAGAGAGTGTGAAAATATCCTGGGTTACTTTAATAATTTGCTACTGTCCAATATTATGAGCTGACTGAAATACAACAAAGTCTAAAAATACAAGTTTATAAAATAGTATTGATCAAATACATTATCCTTGACACCAAATAAGAGATGTGGTTCCTGAATGTAAGGAACAAGAAGTATAATGAGCAGGCCAGATATAAACAAAGAATTTGGGATATATGCATAAAGAGAAAGAGATCCCAATTAGTAAAAGACAATCAGCCTAAAGAAGCATGGACTCTAAGTGCTCCAAAAAATCAGAGTTAGGTAAAATCACTGTGCTTCTAAAAGAGGAAAACAGATTTGGGGATGGAGAGTCATCTTAGTTCTGGTACCTATAATTGAGGGAGCAAAGTTCTGGCTGTCACATAGCAAAGTCATCTCAGCTTTATCTTTCTTGGATAAAGAGCCCTGGTAATCTAAATTGTCAAGTACAAAGGTGAGAAACACATGTTTTAAAGTAATTAAAGCCAGTGCTAGTTCTGACCCTGCCATACTATATGACTCTAAACCTCAGTTTCTTGATCTGTAAAATGTGAATTATAAATATCGACCACCTCATTGAATGGGAATGAAATGAATGCATATGCCCCAATTAGAGATGTCCAGCACGCAGCGGGTGCCTAAAATATGGTAGGTGCAGTTTACATGATAGTAAATGGCACACTTAGTGTGATAAGATCAGGACAACTGCTCAGAATCTTGCTATTTTTAAAAACACTTTATTAAGGTATAATTGACATAGAAAAGGCTGTCTGTATTTAATGTACACAACTTGACAATTTTAGTAATAACTATATACCTACAAATCTTGATTTTCAGGGAAATTACATGGCTCTTGGTTGGAGGCCCATTATACTGTACTCCAGACAACTGGGTCTGAAGCTCTTCACTGTCTTGGGGACAAAATACAGTGAATCATATTCTGATCATTTCTCTTCAAAAAGGCATCTGACTCTAATAGAATACACCTGACTCACAAGTTTAATAAGCTTAAGTATCACATTTAACTGATGGAGTAACTGAAGAGGAGGAAAGGGCTCCCCTTCAGTCATGTACCTTAGCTGCGTGCTCAGAAACAAAGAAATGTGTAATCTATAATCACTCTCTTAGAATGACCCAGAATTTAGAAAAGCCAAAACTAGTGGTGACTGACAGGGCACATGACAGCAAGCTACCAACCATTCTAGTGATGAAGCCAGCTGCAGACAAACACTGCTTGGGGCAACATTCTGTGGATGATCTTCCAGCTTTGTTAAAATCCCATCAGTGCAGTAACTCTCTTTATCTGTAGTATAAATGGTTTTTATGAAACAGTTTAGTAAAACTCACGGCATGTGACTGCACTACTGCAAATGTGTTCGCAGATCCAGCCAGAAGCCATAGCAATGATCTGAGCAACAGTAAGAAAATAAACCTAATCTTTGTAAAGACTTGCTGGTGCCCTACTGGAGCTGAATATCTAATCTTTTCCAAAGTAGCTTCCCTTTCCAATTCAGAAGAAGCAAGAATCGCTCTCAAGCTACCTCCAAATAATTATACAGTATTTGATGGCTCAGGTTATTTTTCTCAATCTTCCATGAACTCTGCACAATTATATCTGGATCCTTATAACATGATGACTTGAGATTATGAATACAGTGAATAAACACAACCTTCTGGTATAGCAATTTAAGCATCACTGAGTGGGTAAATACTGAAGAGTGAATCCTAACACTTGAAACAGAATCTTCCAGAGTCCAGAAATCCACCTGACTGCCAAAAATAATACTTCCGTGGTTCAAGCAATACTACTACCCAAAGGGGTTTCCACAGACATAACCACATGAGTTACTGCATATTGGGTAAAATAGAAAAAACAGACATTTATAAATGTACAGTTTGCAGACATCTTTAAACTACTCATAAATATTCAATTTACAAATATAGTACAAATGGAAGACTTTAGGAATATGGAGCATCTGTTTAAATTGCTTAATTATATGGTTTCTTCTATGGGTTTTCCTCATCCTAACTATTTTTATTGGGGGTTGGGTGGGGAATGCATGGCTCTCTTAACCAAAGTACTGTAAATAAAACCAATTTCACTGAAGAAAGCTTTATGACAAGAACAAATGTACAAGAGATTCTGACTTCAAGATGAAGTAGAAAAGGCAAAGTCACAGGACAAAATCGCATCAATTCGATATCAAAGAAAACCTCTCAATTCACCAGGCTACACTAAGGCAGCATTTGTTAGGTTCTCCACCAGTAAAACCAATGCACGATATCGTCTCAAGCATTTCACACATGATTTCTATTTCTGCTCTGATGTAAAACTCGGCATCTCACATCACGGCACAAAGAAAAGAGTCAGTTTAGCCAGTTCAAGTAAAACACCAGACAGCTGCTAACAGAGACAGGTCGCAGCTGGGGCAGGGCACTGCACATTCGGTTTTCTATGTTTTCCTTCAGAAGAATGTCAATAAAAACCACGGTCAAATGAGGTATTGGGGGCGGGGGCCTCTATGCTCTATGCAGTGAACCACTGGGTTCACCTAACAGTTAGCGGCAGTCGGACAAGTTAGCAAAAAAGAGCCCTAGCCAAATGTACAGCTGCCAACAACTTGAAGAAAGCTCTCTTTCTCCCTCGACATCCCAGGGACCAGTCCCACATTTAGAAACGTTATTTCTGGGACCAATAGCAATTTATTTTGATAGAACCACTAGATTTTTTTTCCTGAGTTCTCAACAAAGGAGCCATATTAGGAAGTAATCTCGCAAAAAAGCCAAGTGCTCCCTCCCCCTTTGCCCACGATCGATGCACACACGCGGCGCACGCGGACCCGCACAGACGCCCGCCCGTGCACAATGGCCGGTGCCCTC